TGTGGCAAACGAATGTATCATTGAACGTTTCAACAGATCGCTGGAACTAAAGCAGGATTCTGAAAAATTAAAGGTTTGTAAAGTTCTGTATTGCTTCTACAAATAAATTATAGTAGCGTCCATACCTCTGTGCTCGCATTAGTTCTTGCATTTCCCAGTATATCTTAAGTGAGGTAGAAATTTTAACGATACAAATAGTGGATATTCCTGTCAAGGAGATTGGAAGAGGCCGGAGGCTGAAGTCTTGTGTGTGTTAACATATGCAGTTTGTTTGGTGTTGTTGGCCAACCAGCGTGGAGAGGAACACAATCAAATTTTAACAATTAATGAAAAACTGCAGGTGCCATTTTTTTAAAGTTCTAACGGAAAGGCACTTTCTGATTAAACGCTATGTCATTGAGTATTCTGAAATACTTTTCTCTTTATAGGTTTTTCTAATGTTCGCAACTGCTTTTGACTATTCAGAACTTGCTTGAGGAATTACTATCGAACCAGGGTGTTGCCGCATGGAGGAATGAATGCCTAAAATTTTGATTAACCATCTACAGAGGGCAATTCTCACTAATCGACCTGTGCTTTGTCAGTTCACCTTAGCGAAAATTGGGCTTTGGGCATGTGAAGCGGACGTTCGTTAACAAATTCTTAAATTTAAGGCGAAAAGAGAACAGCAGTTATTGCCTGCACCGCAAGACGAAAGTTCCAGTCAAGAGGAACACACTGGCGAGGTTGCTGCAGAACTGCCAAAAGAAGAAATAGTGGAAACAGTGAAACGACGGAATGAGGCGAATTTTAAGAGGGAAAGCGGAGAACGGGAGGAGTCAGCAACTGAACTGCAGACGAGAAAAAGAACTGTCAGTTTTGCTGATGAGCTTGATGGAAAAAATGTTGATATCAGTGCGGCAGAGAAACTGCCTAGTAAGAGGATGCGGACCACAGCGGAAACCGAAGCAGCGAATTCTGCAGCTCCAGCGAACCAAAGCAAACCTATGGTTGGTTTTATTTCATTTTACAGAGTTCGTCAGCACTGTGTAGAGTGTTCTAGGGCTGTTTAGTCGGGTTCATTCAAAATATCGCTCCTAGTAAATTCTACACTTTCATTCTCGGGAATGTTCAGATGCAGAGATTGAACTTCATAGTGGAGTTTACTCTCAAAAGCTGTAGTGAGTTTTCAGCAAGTCAGAATTAGCTTACATGCAGTTTCCTTTAGTTTCCTGTTATCGGTAGGGCAACATGCCGTATGACATTCGGATAGGCCCGTCCTGAATTGAAGAAAATTTGGGTGGCCCCTCTTAATAGCGTACTGCCGAATGACTCTTTTAACTTTTTTGAAAAGTGGGTTGCAAGTTTCTGTGTGATTTATCGTCGCCGTAAGTTTTGTTTTCGGTTTTTTATGCTCAACTTGCGAGTTGTGT